GCAGGAAATGCGCTAATGCAAATTGTATTAACTCAACCAACAGTGGACAGAACTTCTGTCCTATGCGTCACTGTGATCAGCCCTAGGAGCTTAATGGAGGGAATTAACATCTGCACTAAGCACTGTTGTCTTTTTTTTTTTTTTTAAGATTTTTTTTTTAATTTACTTATGCATACAGAACTGGAATACAGGCCAGAGGTACAGGGGTGGTGGGAGGATTCACCAGAGACAAAGTGAGTAACAGAACAGGCAGATCGACAAAGTACTGGGGGCAGCAGCGGGTGAGACAGGAAGAGTCTGCCACGCCATGTGGTCACCTCTGAGGCCAAGGATTGAACGCACAGCTAACTTGCAGTGCTGCATTCTAACCCACTGCGCCACCAGGGAGGGCCCCCACTGTTGTCTTAACTTAGAAAAACCAGAAGAGTGACAAGTATTTTCTCTGCTTACATTCCCTTCAATTCTACCAAGCAGATGCTATCGTTCCCACTTTGGAGTGGAGGAAACTGAGGAAATGTGCTAATAGTCCCCAAGTGAGACAAGAAGCTAAGTGGGCAACCCTCTACCTGCACCATTTCTACATCACCCTACAATACCCCATCTTTTTCCTACTCATGTTCCTCAGTGTAGGATTCAAATATACTCCAAATGAAGAAACAGATGGATATTTAATATATCACTGTTTGTCTCACTGTCGCAGCTGTAACATACTGTAACACAATACAAATTATGGTCTGTAGAATAGAGTCACAAAATACGATGGATATAACAATGAACAGACAACACAACTCAAAGAGAATTGGAGCACCCTTTGATGGGTTGATGAAATACAGTTAATGTGCCCCATGTCAATATTTGGGTCAACAAGGAGTCCAGATGGGTGATGATGGTGGCCCTTCTACATAGCCTAGGTGTGTAGTAGGCCATACCATTGAGTTTGGTTAAGGATACCCTAGCGCATTTGCACAATGATGAAATCGCCGAACCACACCATTTCTTAGAATGTATTCCTATTGCTAGATAATACATGACCAGATGAAATCAGAGAGCCAACTTCCAAAGATGAAGAGATGTCCAGGTCTAGTCCTAAATTTGGGCATCATGGTTGAGCTATGGGCTGAACCTGGATGTCTCTACCACTATGAGCGGAGGTTGGTCCATGACGGGGAACATCTTCCTTCACAAGGTCCTTCATCCCACCATGGATGGTTCTCATTCTTAGAAAGGTTTTCTTTACTTTGGCCCTGAAACGACTGCCCTGGAAGTGCTTCATCTAAGTCTTACCCTCAGAGGACTAACCACATAAATTGGCTGGTTGACTGAAGATCTGTAATTCCTGGGAGAGCACCACGCATTCCAGGCAGCACTTACCCTTCTTCCCTCAGCCACTGCAGACAGAGGGAGGTGCCTGTTTGGATGGGAGGAAATGGGCTTTGGTAGAAACCCTGGGGGTGGGAATATCTACTCCTCATTTTGGCAGCCTTTGGTGTAAAGCACTAGAGAAATGTGAAACAGGGGAGACAAAATAAGAACAAGACGAGATCGTTGCAAGCACTTCAACCAAATCATTTCTGAGATTCCCAGAAGAGAGATAACTTGATTCTTTTGGGTTCATTTCCATTTTTGTTCTGTCTCAGGGACTTCTTGCATTCCAGCTGGGCCAAGTAGGTACATAGCCAAAATATCCTAAGAATGTCTCTTATTAGAGGATGTTCAGTCCAATTTGTACAACCAGGAAGTTTTGATACTCCTGATAACATGTGAATATATGGCTGGATGTTCAGGGTGGAGTAGCTTAGCCCTAACCAAATTTGGGAATCTTGTTTCAGGAAAATGGACCAGAAAAACTGGAAACAATTAGAAGACTTACACACATTCAGAACTGAAGTTCAAATCCATTTTCTAGACTCATGCATACAACAGTGCTGCTGCTTTGCAGGGGGTATCTGAGAACCTGCCAACCTGTACAGCCAGGGCTGTGCCTCTGGATGGAAACCCCTTGCCTAAGAATTGTGGTCAGACAAGCTCAGTGGCTGGGCAAACACCTGTGTTGGTCATTTTCACAGCACCAACCAGGAAAGATCAAAACCGGTTTGCAGAAGAGACGAGGACCACTGTGGTCATTTCACAACTTCCCCCCATCATGTGAGTGGATGTCCCAGTGCAGCCCAGGGAACCGTGGCAGGATCACCAGCGCAAGGAGCCTGAGCTCACAGGTGGGCTATCACTAGCAGAGAGTCAGTGGCTCATGGGTGTTCACTGCACCCCCACACTGCTTGATTCCCCAGAGTCCCACCTCCCCAAGTAGCTGGGTGCGAGTGCAGATTCCCTGAGTGTCTACTGTCTTCTTCCACGAGTTCCTCTGGCCCTGAATTCTCCACTCATGGGCTGTGGGACTCCACCGCTTGGTCTCGGTAATAATTCTCACCTTGGGGAATAGCAAGGGGACTAGCTCTGGGCATGGGTGAGCAGTAGAGCAAGCAGAGTAGCCAGTGGGTTGTCGGAACCTGTAGTTCCTTCCCCCACGGGCCTCTGTCAGTGTTGGGACTTGCTGGACTATGTGTCCACACAGCCTGCTCCTGTAAAGCATGTGGTGTGCGTGTGACTTTGATTGACAGAGAGAGAAAGAGGGAGAGCAGGCAAGAGACAGGCGGAGTGGAGGAGGAAGAGAGAACAATTGGAGGAAAAAGGGGGGGATGTGGTACATCTAACAACCTCCCAACTCCTCTCAAACCTTCAACCTCTTCACTGGAGGTCCTGACAGGGTGAAAATTAACTACCAGCTCCTTCTAATCACCCCACAAGGTAATGAAGGCCACAGCTACACTTCCTCCTCGCTTTTCTGCTGTCAGAAAGGAACTATGCTTTCATTCCAGTAAGAGTCTCTACTCAGAATTATGCAGACTCGGTGTGTGTTCATGGCATAAACATGTATGTGAGTGTGCCTATGTGCGTGAAGGGGCTGTGTGGAGATGACTTCCAGGCATGCATGTGCCTGCAGATGGGGAATCCAGAGATTTTCGTTCTGTGCCCCTCCCGGCTGCCCTGGCTGGCCCTTGCACACAGACTGCACACACATCCCCTCCCCTGACCCTATATTCTCCAGTGAGCTGATCTCATTATGGCAAATTTAGTTACAGCTGAAGTCTCCATGTAACAAAGATTATGTCCAAGCCCAGAGTAATGGAACCTAGTCGATTTCATTAAAATAAAATTGGTTACAATGAATAATTCAATAGGATGATTTTGTTTCCTCATCTCCTCTTTGTAGATCGAAGAGCTACTATTTATAATGATTTTTTTTAATTGGATTTTTGTTTAGGAAGAAATAATCACCCATAATTCCTGACAACCCCCTCCTTACAAGATTGGGATAATTGCCCCATGAAGTCTCTTTTCAAATGCTAAGACTGGAAAATTCTCTCTCTCCTTTTCTCACATTAGTAGCAATAACCTTTGGGTGATTTTTCAGCACAGCTGCTACCCCAACTCTTGCTCATGTGAGATTCTGAGTGTGTTAATGACTCCCTTGTTTAAGTGATTTTTTTTTTTTTTTTTTTTTTACATTTCTAGTTCTAGGAACAGGATGCTAGTGGTGAATTTGGAATTCCTGGCTCTATTGATGCCCAGTTCTGACACTCCTATGCTACATCAGTCAGAGGGGTGATTTTGAGCATTTTTCTCAGTGTGGTTCATTGTGTGTGTGAACACGTGTATACGTACAGTAAATTAAATGCACATTTCCTGAGCTCTTAATCTTGTCTAGACCATGTGCTTGAAGACGAGGGGACAGAAATGAATAAATCAATCTCAAAACTGCTTTCAAAGAGCCAGCAGTCTACTGGGGGGACCAGGCACACAGACAACACTGTTAGGGTGCAGAGCATAAGCAATGAGGACTTCAGTGAGCACAGACAGGGCACACGGCAGGGCGAACCCTAGAACTCACTCTGATAGGCACTCTACATAAGAAACCTCAGAAAATACCATGTCCATGTCTTTCCATCCTCCCCAGGGCAGTCAGATAAAACATGCAAATGAATCAAGCACCTAATGCAGGGAAACATAAGCAAAAAGGTATGGTCACAAATGATGAACTCCAACTGATGAAGAGATGGCCCCATCTTCTCATCCAGAGATTTTTGCTGGGCCCCAGAAGGTCTCATCTCTTTCATCAAGACACTAAGCCTACCCCTGACCCTGTGTCAGGGAGGCAATACGAGAGAGAAATAGAGTGACAGCTCATCTGTGAGGCCGGGAGGCAGACTGGCCTAGGCCTGGCCACTGGGCCCAGTGGCTGGACACACTGGGTTGCGTCTCTGGGAAAAGGCCGTCTCAAAGAAGGCAGGTGCTTGCCAGGCAGGATAATTGGAAAAGGGGCCCTGGGGACAGCGGAGCCATCTCTAGAACCACACAAGCTCTGGTGGCCCCACTGATCCTGTTCCCTCAACTAAGCTGACAGTCCCTTGGGGGAGAACCCTGGAGCATAAATAGTGCATTAGGGGACTAGGGGATGAGTCATAGCTTTTTAGAGTTGGGAAGGTCCTTGGAGATCATCAAGCTCAACTACTGACTAATTTAAAGATAGGAAAAATGAGGCCCAGAGAAGTAGTTAGACGAATCTAAGGCCACATAGCAAATGTATGGCTGAGTCTTGAACTCACAAGAGCATGCTCAGGGAGCAAAAGACTTGGTAGTAACACCCCCCTCAAAAGTGGAACTCCCCCAAAGAAGTTGTTCCTGCCCCACTGAATTCCAGTGGTATTCACAAAAATGGAGTTCCTTCTCCAAGTCTGAGCAATAACAGGTGGGAAAGGCAGGGGCCTGCATTATCCCTGACTGTGCTTTACCACTTCATGTCTAATGAACAGATGGTACTCACGAGGCGCTAGGACTCTGTTCAGCCAGAGTGGGATCAATGTCTATATCCAGACCTTGGAAGAAGGCAGGCCAGAGGGCACAGCAAGGCTACAGAAAATGTGCTACACGGAGGGGCTTACCTGGGATGCAGCTGGCTGACCAATGACGACCCAGCCAGGACACTGCTGGTCCTGATGAGACACTGTAGCATTGGATGCCCACTGATCCAGGAAGCCTTGGGGCGTGTAGACACCACAGTCCTTAATGCTTGTCTTTTGCTCAAACTCTTCACACACCCCATCGCCATCATGGAAATAGCACCGGCTGGGTTCATCTGTCAGAGACGGACACAGAAAGGAGAGAACAGGTAGACATTTGTCTTTTAGCCCCATCCACCATCAGCAGCTGTGGGAACGGACCAGCAGAACCATCATGACCATCAGCTCATCATCCACAGTCACAGACGATTCAGCTTTCAAAAGGAACCTGTAGTGCTGCCATCTACAATAGGGATGGATCTGGGGGACATTATCCTGAAGCACATAAAGTCACAGAAGGACAAGTAATGTATGACACTACTGATGAGATGAATATAACGCAGTCAAACTCAGAAGGAGAAAGAAAAATGGTGGTTGTCAGAGGCTGGAGGGTGGGGGAATGATTGAGACTTGAGAGATGCTGTCAATGGGTCAAATATTTCATTTCTGTTGCATAGTCTAGAGATCTGCTGTACAACAGTGGATCTCTAGTGAATAATACTGCATGTACATTTAAAGATTTGTTAAGATGGTAAATCTTGTGTTATCTGGTTTTCTAACACACACGTGCGCACACGCACACACACATTGCCCAGGATGCACACGCACACACACATCTTACGCTTAGTGAATGGGTACTAGTAACCAGAGGGGACGAGGGAGAGAGAGGCGAGGACACTGGCACGGGAGGTTTGGTGGAGGGTGAGTGAGGCATGAGCATATGAGGAGGTGTGAAAATGTACCCTCAAAGTAATTTAGGTGTGTAAACCACTGACAAATTTAAAATAAAAATTATCCCAGCAATATTTACATGCCTTGGGAGAATCTGAATCACTCAGACAAATCAGAACATGAAGTCAACCTGAGGCTACTGCTTGATCTAGAGTATTCTTTTCCTCTTCATTTCAAAATAACAGAAGGGGACTTTTCAGGGGGTGCGGATTTTAGGGCCGAAGACTAGGATCTGACTTCTGTCCTTTACATTAGCTAAGTAACTTCCACAACCGGCTTTGCTTTTCAGCCTCTGGCTTCCTATCTGCATTACAGAAACAACCACCTCAGTCAGGACAGTCTCTCAGGGAAGCCATAGAACTGTACTAGGAAATGGACATAAACATGCTTTGTACATTCCAAAGGAGTGGTCAAGAGAAAAAATGCTCTTCGTTGAGGAGTCGATTTATTCCTAAGTGGCTGAACTGATTCAGCTGGTGAAATCAGTTCTCATTTGAAACACATTCAAGCAGCATTCTCGCAAACAGGCTGAGGCTCGGTCAAGTAGAAAGAAGACTTGGGTTCCTTCAGTGCTGCTGACTTTCTGAAAAAGGAGTCACTGAATTTAGGGGGCAGCAAAAAGTTGGGCCCCTATTAAGCTCCAGAATCCCTGGTTTATTTCTGCACAAAGCTTATATAGCGAAATACTATTGAAAAGAAACAGAATAAATCAATTCATTATATTTCAATTATTGTCGATAATTCAGCCAGCCGAAGAGCCCAGTCTGCCTAAACTAGTAGTTTGCCTAAACATAGAAAGGATACAGACTCAGCACTTCCAGTGACCCCAACCTCTAGGTGAAGATGGCTAACATGCATATGATAAAACAGAGTCAACCCAAGAGTGACTAATCATAAATCCATATGCTTATCCCTAGAAACTCAAAATAAGGCAATTGCAAAGAGCACAGGTCTGGGCATCAGGTTAAGTTAAGTTCAAGTCCTTAACTTAGGTATGTTGTACAGAAAGTAAAGAACCTCTCCTCTCCAAACTTCATGTTCCTCATTCAAAAAGAAGACAGAGAATATGTATCAAGTGACAGTTCTGTGATTTCAGAAGATGCCTATAAAGCCAGCTCCTTCACCTACTTTATCTAATGGAAATTTAAGAGCTGTGGGGTTTAGATGTCTGCTTCCAGATCACAGAGGGAATCAGTGGAAGGAGAGGGAGCCTGGCCATTTTATACCTAGAAGAGTGATCTTGCCCTACACACTGTGTCTACAGAATAAGGAAAGTCCATCCTCTTGAAAGTAAGATAATGGGGTTACTGACTCCTGGTAGTACCTTTCTCCTTCAACACAAAGACAAGGAGGCTAAGACCACTCTCTAAGCTAACTTAATTCAGCAAAGACACCTCAGAGTGGCAGGAATCAGGGCTAGCACTGAGTTCTCATGATAGCTAGTTTCTTCCTGATTATATTTAAGATGTCGACATATTTGTATACCCAGGGCCAGGTGAACTATGGAAATGGAGGAGCAGTAGAGGTAGTCATAGGTAGGAGGACAGGGAAATAATAAGATATATAGGCAGCGATAGTTAAAGAAAAAGAAAGGAACTAGAGGTATAGGAGGAACAGACACCAAAAGAGAGGACACAGGAGGAGACAGGGAGAAGATGACCCATTTCTCTTTTTGAATAACATCCTTGGAATTTGCTATTCAGTTTCTCTTGCTACTAGAGTCCTGGAGGCCTTTCTGCTGCATCTGCCAGTTTTCAGCTGGGGAATTCTTGTTCCCTCTCTATTTCCATGGCCCAAACACTGAAGACAGCAGGCAAGGGATGGAATACAAGTATAGGGCCAGGACAAACAAAGACAGCAATGACAAAACAATAACACAAAATTGGCCTTCTTGTTTTCATGACATCAGTTTATTTAGTGATTCTTGAATGCTTGGTGCTAGGGTCTGAGCAGGTTGCAATGAAAAGAGCTTGAAGTCAATACTGAGGTCAAATGATCACCCTGCCAGCTGCCCTCTATGTATTAGCTAGGTGGCACTGATAATAATACATCCCATTGGGAGGTGAAAACCTATTAGTGTGCAACAAACATTTGTTGCATGAATAACTAAAATTCAGCACCTTGATGTAGAGTATGTAAACTGTATCTTGTGCAAATATAGTTAGACTTTGCATGTTTTGAAAAGCTTCTCTAGACAGGGTCTGAGAATGAAGGGAAATGTGCTGGGGCTCCAGTGTTGACTGGCTCACCATGAGGTCGCACTAATGAGTCTGCTTCCTCTGCCTCCCTCGCCCTGTCTTCCCAGACACAAGGGAACTCCTCACTTTGGATTGACTCTTTTCTACACAGTGACACATTTAGAAATCTGCTCTATCCAGCAAAGAGGCTCGATGTGTGTGGGGAGGCACTGCCAAGTCCATCTTCCCCGGCTGAGCTTTCATTTCATTCTCCCTTTTGGAAGAAATGAGCTCAGTTCCAAGAGCCGGAGGCAGATGGCCTCACGCTAAGTGGACAGACACAGCTGACGCTGTTGCTCATTGACTTAATTTTCAATTTCCATCTGTCTGGAGCATCCAGATGAAATGCCATGCCTCTGCATTCCTGTGGCCTGTCCAAAGGAAGGGGAGTGGAGGCAAGAATGGCTACCCCTATCTGTAAGCTCAGATGCCAAGTATTAGTGGGATGAGATGAGGTTACCTTAAATTATTAGCAAAGATTGGGAATTATTGTTAAAAGCTCTTGTCCTTGAAGTCAGAAATCTTGGATCAAGCTCATGATCTGACCCTGACTACAGTGTCATCTTGGGCATCTCCTGCACCTCTCTTTGCTTCAGTTTCCCCACCTATTGGGTGGAAACAACATTGCCTCTTAGAATGGCTTAATAGGCCCACCCTGGTGGCGCAATGGGTTAGGATGCAGCACTGCAAGCTAGCCGTAGCCACTTCAGTGCAAGTTTGAACTCAGCCCCAGAGGTGATCAATATGGCATGGCAGACCTCTCCTGACTCACTTGCTGTACCCCTCAGCAGTGTACTTTGTCCTGCTTCCTGTCCTGCTCTGGTGAAGCCTCTCATCCCTATGCACCTCTGGCTTGTACCCCAGTTCTGTATGCATAAATCAATGAATCTTTTTTAAAAAATGGCTTAATAAAGAGCTGAGAAATCATAACAGTAGCCTAGGAGATGAGAAAGTGATTAGGTCTTAAAGGCAAAGTGTTCATTCTTAATAATTATGATCATGGGGTAAGGTCAGGGTTGCCAGAAAGGTGTTAAGAAGAGATCGTACTTTCATTTATCCAAGAATGGAAATGATTGAAGAGGGTGCATGAGCCATCTGCATTCTAGGGAATGGAGTGAAACAAACAAGCAAGGGAGAAAGCAAAAATCTAAAGAAAAGAATATATTAATATGAAATAATACATTTATTGCAGAACTATTTCAACCCAATTGGGCAATATTAACTTGGCTTGATTAGAAACATTGGCAATTTGTGATATTATTGGAGTCTTTGACGGGAATGACTGAAAGAGGTCATAGCCAGAAAAGGAAGGAGGGACTCAAGTTGCTCACATCAGCTCTGTAGGAAATCCCAGAGATCACTTCCCTGAGCTGACTTTCACCTGTCAGAGGGCCCTGCAGACCAGATAGGGAGAAATCATTGGCCAATGGAAAAATCACTTAAGTCAATGTGTCCTTCAAGCCAAATTGCAGATAATATGTATGTTTTGGGAAGTAGGATAATCTAAGGAACTGGGGCTATAAGTATCTAATTCCCAATACATATGAGTGTGCCCCTACATTGCATGCAATGCTATGACAGAGTCTCACTGCTTAAAGAAGAGCTTTTCTTCTGCTTAACCTACAAAACCGCCCACAAAGTGGCCTCCCTTTGCAGTTTTCCAAGTCCACCATTCCATTTCTGTCTGCCATCTCTCATGGGGTAGTTTGTCTACTCGAATGCAGTTCTTATTCTTTACATTGCTCACTCCCATAGCTTCTTCAAGATAACACTAGAAGTGTCTCTTCTAGCAAGTCTTTTCTCCACTTCATTCTTTTTCCTGACTCCAGTCCTAGCTGGGTTAACTGTTCTTCCGCTGTATTTTCCTAATTTCCAGATTTCTCCATCACAACCTTTTTAGTCTATGAGTCTGGTCCTGTGTACAATGTTGTTGAGTCTTTCTGACTTATAGAAATTAGACTGAAGTAGGAGCCTAATAAGTGGCTGAGGAATACATGAGGAATGACAAATGAAAGCTAGCAACTGCTTTACATTTAATCTCAATTATATCCAGATTACATCTGGATTAGGAGGAAAAAAAAAAAAAAAGGGGTTTAACCTTTTTTTTT